AGCCCAGTCTATCTATGTAACTAGGGCATGCCAAGGTCAGCAAACCGTACCATTCCCAGCAGCCTCCAGTTCTCACGTGGATGAAGTCGTGGCCAGCACAATGATGACTTATGATCATTGTAAGTCTTCAAGTTCATGCCCGCAATGCATGCAAGTCGTTGCTCACTGCTTTTTAGTGATCACCATAGACAAAGAGGTGGGGTCCATTCACGCCCGTTCGCGACGCAAGGCTTATTGGAATGTTCCTACTAGCTGGCTCACATATGGGTAAGCCTATACAGTTTTGCCAGGGGTTGCGTTCATCCTCGCTTGTATCCGTGCCAGAGCAAACCTCGGTCGGTGCCTACTATGTTCTACTTGATTGTGTGTCATGATTTCTATCTCTGATGGTGCAGCACCTGACTGTTTGAACGCTCCGACAGCTACGATACATTTCTGGAATATATCGAATGTGAGATCGCTTCATTTTTGGTAACGCCCTTGCATCGTTCGATTGATGGGACGTGCCGAGGTTCAGTTTCACCATGTCAGGTTGGTTCTCAACTGCACGGCCCCGGTGCATGTCAATTTACATGACCGAACAAACAGTATTCTTCGTTCAGCCTACCTCGGAAATGGTAGGCCTAGGCGGTTTGCGTCATCTTGATACAGACTCATTACTGACTTAAATGCAGTTGTGAGCGCCCGTTTTCACGTTCCGGAACCTCTCATCCTCTGATTTCTGGATCGCTCCCACCCCGGCAGCTGTGGGTTCATTTTCGTTGACTCTGCGTGCAGTCTTCCTCACAGTAGACAGGCAAGGCTTTCTTACGTCTTCAAGGCTAGCCATCATCAGTTTTCATGTGGTTCGTGCAGAGTGAGTTTCCAATTCATACAAGACGTTACTTCAGCGTGCTTATACGCGACCACGCAGTCATTCTTCTAATGCGCCTACATGCACTCTACAATCGTTCAAGAAGGCTTCTCGCGTTTCTCGCGTCACTTTTTGCTACTGAGATCTTAATAGTTTCTTGGCTGTTACTTGACTCTACCATGGCGGCGAAAGGTCAGCTCCAGGCATTGTCTTTGCGAGCTCTTAAATGATGACCTCACTACCTCAAGGTGTCGACGAAGAGGTCCTACTCGGCACTAAAATGTGCACAAATCTTAGCATTGGGCGTCCGCTGAAATTCCTCTGGCTCCCTGTCATAGGGTTTGAGGCCGTTCTATGCCTGCTTTCTATCTGGGCTGGAGTAAGGCGATCAACGGAACACCAGAAGTTTTCCTCAAGCACCAGACTCAACCTCGTGGACACCATGGTCAGGGGCAACGTTGTGTATTTTACAAGGTATAATCAGCCATTAATACTACCCTCTTGGCTCCAACACTCAACTTATTTGACCCAAACGCAGTATATTTGCGGCTTGTCTGGCACCAACAGTCCTGTGGCAATTTTTCAATGTGCGTACACAGGACTGTCTCAGCTAGTTCTATTCGACCTCATAACTTCATGCTGGGAACTAGTATCAATATTAATGGTACGAAGCTCCCGAAGCCTTTGTGTGCGCCGTCAAAAGCATCGCCGGATGTAGGCTTCTTTTGCACCTTCGAGAGTCGCACGAACAATCCCTCAGAGTCCCTGGCTCTCCTGAATCAGCGCAAATGATGGATCTGCACTTTGCTTCCGAGGCACCAGTTGGTGCAGTCACATCAAGGGCATGGTATGTTAGCTGTTTAACAAAGCAAGTCTCACAACAACAAATTCACGTTCGATTAGAGCAGGTTTGCTTGATGGTGTTGTCCACAATAGATCGTGCATTCAATCGAGTTTAGAGAAGACAGTATCCACGCCACTCGCTACGAAGTTCTCTGAGCGCCTGGGATTGCGCCGCCCCAGGATCGGAGATGGATAGTATAGGTCAAACGCAACTAGTACAAATGCTAGTCACATCCTATAGTACAATACATCCTGCTCCAAAAGATCAACAAAACAACAGCGGCCTGCTTAGTCCTCCATCAAGCTCTGTCTAAATCAGATTCAGGGGCACAGGTGAGGAGTTGCATTGGGTACTCGAATACCACTTGTGAGGGAACTGCTGTTGTACTGTCAAGGGAGGTAGGGGAAGCTACACCACGGACATGCAAAACAAGCCGGCAGCCGGCAATAACTCCAATGGCCTCTGCAAACCCTTCAGGCACCTCCATCCACTGTGGCTGAAGATGATTCATGATGTTAGACCTCGTGACACATGATCGAACTGAGGACCTACCGAAAGACTCGGAATTGACCACATCACGGTATTGACAATCATCGTGAGTACTACACTGATCACCAAGCATGTTAGAAAGGCAGTTTTGTTTGAAGTCTCAGGAAAAACTTACCAGGCAAAATATAAGACATTTCCTTTGACTACCACATCCACTAACCGTGTGCCAAAAACCAGGCCAGGCGGTGTATCCACCTGTGAACGCTTGAAGCCAATCCAAATAGCGAAGCAGCACAATAGGGACTCGTAGGTGAGAGGCGCGACCCAAAAGCTGAATCCGTCTGCCACCAGTGAGTTAGTGCAAATGTTGATTCCAGGAAATGGCTCATTGGTAACACCTTTACATTTCCAAGCGTGAACCAAAGGACAATGAACAAGATATTTGCACCTACCTCCCGCAACATTCGAGAAGATGAGAATAGTAGACATGACCGCAATCTCCACGATGTAGGCTATTCCCAGGAATAGGAGGACCTTCTTTGATTTGTCGTACAGCGCGTAAATATGCATCTGTAAGATGACTGTGTTACATCAGTTATGATATGTGAAGCTAAGAATACTATCTGGAACTTGAAAACTCAAGTTGCTACCTTGTAAAAGCCATAGGGTCACACAGGCTGGCCAGCCTTGATAGTTGAGATAAAATTGGCCTTTTGTGACATCAGATGGAAATAGCACAGTGCTAATGGGCTGGACTCACAGCTAGTTATCAACACCGTGTACCATGTATACACCAAGGAGTTTAGCAAGGTTGCGCATATATTTGTTGATGACATACAACTGAAAGCAACTTGAACCAACGGAACAAAATGACCAAATGTTTATATCCCCGACTCTTACCTTGCTTGAAGTCTCTGTCAGGAATGCTGGTTGCAAGAATACAGGGGTGAGGCCACAACAAATGAGATTCAGAGGGGGATGTAGATCGTGCACAAACTGCGCACCCGCCGCATTTTGGCTAAAAACAATATAATAAGTTAGAATGAACATTTAGTGACTTGCTAAACCTCTGGCATATATGGGTTGCTTTGAAACGTACAGAGCGTACAAATTCCCTCCGTATCGTAGCTATTTTCAGCGCCGATAGCAAGAAGTCAGTCTAAGGACTCGGAATAAAAAGGGCTAGAGCTCGTACGATGAGGTACAAAACTTTAGTTGGTGACCATGACCTCTTCTGCGACAGCACCTTCGTTGAACCTAACAAGCATTCAGACAACCATGGCACTCACCCATATGTGCTCAACCTCGAGGCAAGGGTGTGTTAGGGCACACATTTAAAAATGAACATACCACTCACTTCCTCATCAAACGTGATCACTGATACGTCAGTCAGTAATGCTCCCTGATTGAAAACCGGATACCTACTGTGGTCATACGCCATGACCACGAATGGGGCGACTGCGGAGCGCCAGTGGTTAGAGCAAGACAAATCCCTCTGTTCCTCCCACTCACGTTGGCACATTCGGGTTATCTGAGCTGTGCGCGCAAAGCTCACGTATTCAGTGTTGCCGAGAGCTTGTTCTGACATGTGTGTCGAATTACGTGCTGAGAGGGATCTACTAGGAGGTAGTTCATCTAGGATCATGCTTTTGAAGCCTACCACGAATACCTTTGGTTACCCTTGCAGTGCAATCAACCTGATGATCATGGTAACTCTGTGTACTTGCCACTTGAATCATGATCGGGACTGCGTTGTATGGCCGTCTTCTCAGGCTGCTCTAACAGCATTAAGATTAAATGGGAGTGGTTTTCACTATGCCAAAGCGCTGTTCTAGAGTTCAAAGAACGTTAGCCAGAAGCTAGGAGAATCACAAACCATTATATCGATATCCAATGACCAGGTATTCGAGTTGTCGAGGGGAACAGCGAACTTGTACGTCTCCGGGATGTCCGAGTCTTCCAGCCTATCTAATATGAGGGCTTACGGGCCGTGAGATACAAGCCCATTAGATGAGGGAGATTGCTCTATCTCTCATTATGACTGCCACTTCTATGGACGACAGAGATCAGACTCATCAAGGAAGCTGATAACATGAACTGATCACGATCGATCATGCAGTCAACCAACATCGTAGTCGGGCAATGAAATGTGAGGAGTGGTACTAGTGCCAATTACGACGGCCTACGTTATGTTGTTCCGGCTCGTGAGTACTGATCAGGTGGCAGTCGCGAGATGGTCCCACATTGACCTCAAGAGGATGGCATCAGGAATATGACGGAAATGCCTATCTGTACTCAAGTCTGTACTTTCCATATTTTTCGGCGCCTTTCTTCTGCTTTAGAGGTACACTTCGCGTTAGAGCATGGGAAAAGTAGAATAAGTTGACTTGAGCAGTGTCTGCTTGAGACGGATGAGGTTGATTGAGGTGCCGCCAAGCTCGAAGAAGTTGTCAGCAGCCGAGGGGTCTCTGACTTCCAAGTTGAAGATGCCAACGTAGATGGCTGCGAGGATCTTCTTGGTCTCGGTGGAGGGTGTGACGGAGGAAGCCCTGTGAACCTCGCTGAGGAGCTCCTCAGTGAGAGCTATGTGCTTGGCGAGCTCACCGTACTTGTACAAGCTGACGAGACGAGCGCGGGCGAGCTTTCCGAAGGGGGCCTTCTCCATCTATTCACGGGAATAGGAATGATCTGCTGAGGAAGAAGCGTGATCATCTTGACCGAAATATCCCTGAGGACACTGTGGGTAGCGAACAACTTCGTTGACAAAATGCTGCTCAACACACGAAGGTACAGGTCAGCGGGATGCAAAAAGGCTGGACGCACAGGGGATTGAACCCTGGACCTCATACACGTTTGATTACAAATGCTTATGTAATCATGTTGTTGCAAAGCATGCGCGCTACCACTGCGCTATGCGCCCGTGATATTGCGAAGCTAGCTGGCATATACGAGTCTCGAATGCGGTTATCTGTTGATGAGAAAGTGGAGGTGAAAGGGAAGGCAAGGACACAGGCAGATGCAAACGGAGAGAGAAAGGAGGAATGCTAATTGGATGGTGTTCCGCTGGTGTTCAGGAAGAAAATTGGGCCGAGCATGCAGCCGGTGGCAGTGTGGAATGCTACCTCGCTCTACGGTCTAGATGAGCACGATCGAGGCGTGGAGTTCGAATCCTCTGCCATGCGCGCTACCACTGCGCTGCAGTGGGTCCGTGGACATTGGAGCCTAACACGCAGCGTCAGGCTGTGGGAAGGGAGTGCTATAGCGCGGAGGGGCGATAAAGGGTGGCTGAAGGTGGGCAAGGGAGGGACGGGAGAGACCGGTGATGGACTGGAACTGCGCCGAGGAGGGTACGAAGTCCAATGCCATCGACCACGCGCATCACCACTAGAAGGCAGGTACTCGTGTAGGTTCGCGCATGGCGTATTTACTAAGTCCTGTGGAAACGAATGGTCGAGGTTAGAGCATTAGTCCACTGCAAGTGGACAGCACACGATATGGTCGAGAGACATCGAGACTCAACGATCGGTGCAGACTGTATGCAGCGGGCTACAGTTCGAGAGACATCCGAGTCACTAAGCCAGCAACGTTCCGAAACAATTATGTGGAGCACTGACTGCAAGACGCACCGTAAAAATACCCATGGCCAAACTGCATTTATGATATTTTCGTCAATTTCTCGTTGATGTTGTGCCAAATCGATAACTACTAGCAGTGTGCCAGACACGGCAGCGGCAGAGGTGATGAGTACTCGTGGGGACGAGCGCAGATTGGATGATGCAAGGGAGATATTGCGCATTGGCAGTATGAAGGGAGAAAGTCGAGCTGAGCATGCGGCCGGTGACAGTGTGGAATGCTACCTTGTTCGTCGGCCAAGGTGGCACAATCTCAGGTGGAACTCCACCGAAAAGCATGCGCGCTACCACTGCGCTATGCGTCCGCAAAGTATGATATCATGGTGATATTCAATAAGCCGCTGGGTCTACGACGTGCATTGGGGCCTATCGTAAAAGCCCGTTGGTAAGTAAGTGATCCGCCAGCCTAAATCCAACTTAGGACTCCCATCACGGCTCCTCGAAACTAGATCTGAGGGGGGAGCGTGGCACCCGGGGATAATTAACAACCACTGGCGTAGAAGTTGACCGGGTAGTGTTGGGGGTCTGGGTCCCTGCGCTTCGGATGTGCAAAATGAGACGACAGCCAGCAATGACTTCACTGGCTTGTGCAAAGCCCTCGGGCACCTCGAGCCACTGGGACTGAAAAGGAGAGCGTTCGTAAGAGCACGTTTGAAGTTGTGATTGAAAGGATTCCCTACTCCTAGAGTTTGCCACATCGCGACGTTGGCAATGAAGGGGAGCAGGATTCTGCAGGCGAGTGGTTAAACGTTTGCTCGGCGTTGGGTTCCGAATTCCAAAAACTTGAAGGCGCTCACCCGAAGAAATACATTACATTACCCAAAATAAGCACCTCTATAAGCCGCATGCCAGTTCCTTTCACCAGCGCAGAAGTGACATGTCCCCTAGACCTCCTCACGCCCACCCAAATCGCGAGACAACACATAATACACTCAAAGACGAGAGGCGAAATCCAGAAGCTGTAGAAAATCGTTGGTGTGTTGATGGCTGCGCAAATGTATATTCCGGGGAGTGGCTGGTTAACCGCTTTGAGTTTTCAGTAAACCCATTGGAGGCGCAAGTGAGTGAGCAGTCCAGGTGGGCATAGGGTGTGGAGCAGAGACGGTATGTCCGCCGGACTTACCAGATGATTTGAGATTTGCTTTCAGAAGGATCGTCGACATGGCTATGATCTCTCCGAAATATGCTGCCCCCATGCACACGAGGAGCTTCTTCGACTTCCCGTACAGTACGTAGAGGCGCATTTGTAGAATGTCTAGATGAAGATGTAAGTATCGGAGGGAATCTCTTGGGAGATTGTGAAAGGCTCACATTGGACGAGCCAGACTGTCAGAGAAGCCGGCCAGCCTTGGAGGTACAGGAAGACATTGCCTGCAGGAGTGTTATACGCATTGAGTACATATCAACTATCTAACTCACATCTAATAACCCACACCGGATTCAAACATAGGCCGGACAATGTTAGCGAAGTCGCACAGAACCGCATTGGTCACGTACAGCTAACAGAGCTGGATGAGAGTACCGGACATCATTTGATGGTAATACTTACCGTGCTGGACCACTGCCCTACGAATCCTGTTCACGGAATACCGGTTGCAGAAGTATTACAGGAGGAGTAACCGACGCACCCATTGCGCTAAACCTGCAAAGGGACGAGTGAGTAACCTCGGAGGACGGAGAAATCCAAGATTAGCGCACAGACCAAACGCCCCGCCAATATATCGCAGCTGTTTTGGAACCTGGATGAAGGAGTCCCGAAGCGATAAGAGAAGACTAAGGACGTACGATGAGATATAAGATTGTGCTGGATGTCCAAGACCTTTTCTACAAAGAAGTCGTTAGCCAATCCCACAGAGTGTGATAAAGCAAGACAGATACCCAGATATGTTCAACCTGTGGCCACGCGGCATCAGCAAAATGATACGTGCTCGAATGAACTTTGTGGATACCTCTTGATCGAAAGTCAGAACTGGCAACTCTAGTCAGAGAGCTCGACTCAATAATATATAGTGCCATACCATGGTCATATAACATGACAACATATGGGGCCACTGAGAATGATTAGTTGAGCTGAATGTACGATTCTTGTATGTAATGTCCGCTTACTTTGACACATACGAGTTAGCTGAATGATATGGGCACCGCTAACATATTCTGCAACTTCGGCGGCTGTCATCGACATTTGGAGACAAGAAAGACGTTGAGCTGGTTGAAGTGTTCGCGGGTCTCGAATGTGCACTACTTAGGAGGTGAGATGTAGGGGAACCAAAGGGCGTCCGCGTTTTTGAGCATGAGACAGACTCACTGATGCCTCCGAGTCCCATGGACCAATCACTGGCGCAGCGCCGGGAGCACGATCATGATCGTGATAAGCGCTAGCCTGGACTAAGGCAATATAAGCGCGTAGGACGGCTTCGGGATAGAGCAAAGTTACCGTTCGATGGATAACCTCGATGCTGGGTCTTTTTTTGGAGGTCAAGGCCTAATCACGCCCTGATACGCACGAGAAGTTTGAAGACTTGGAGGTAATGTAGCTGGCGGGACACAATGAATAACCGTTGGACCTATCCAAGAGCCCTAGACGCGCTGTACTGCGCCTAAATCCATGCAGTCTGTGCGACGAGTCAATCAGAGGCTCTACCTTGCCAATGTGATATCACCCAAACCCATGATATGTGATTAGATCAAGCCTGGTAGGCGGTGGATGAGTGCGCAGCCAGCAACCTGATTCAAATTAAGATCTGAGTTGCCGGTGGGCCCCGCCAACGTCTCCGTACATCGCTACAGAGACAGCGCAAATCCGAAGACCAAAATTTGTGGCTCCCATCAAAGCCGACTCGGCCACCTGAGATGGAAATGCCACTGAATGCTCCAGATTCAGGTGGATTCAAAGCCTGCATCAAAGCCGGTGCATCTTTGAGATGCCAGCCATCTTGTGCGAAGCGAAACAGAGGCGACTGCCAGTGGTAATCAGTACACGATACGGGGTACCATGTTTGAAATTCATTGTGTCAAAGCCGCAAACCGAAATACTTGACGCCCGCCGGGTACTCCCTCATGCTTCGTCCAGGTCCGACTTTGGGGTGAAGTGACGTATTGGCATTTGGATGGGAGCAGTCATGGTGGTATTCGGATCTGAAGAGGCTGCACTTCGGATGTGCAAAATACGACGGATCTACAACGGGAAAGCATCCCTTTACCGAGTTTCGGCGAGCCTACGTGGACATTGGAGTCTAACGGGCAGCGTCAGGCTCTAGGGAGGGAATGCTATAGGGCGGAGGGGCGATAGAGGGTGGCTGAAGGTGAGGGTAAGGTAAAGACGGGAGAGAAGAGGGATGGAGTGGAAGTACGGCGAGAAAGGTGCAAAATGCAATGCCATCGACCACGCGCGTCACCACTGGAAGCCAAGGACCCGTGTAGGTTCGCACATGGCATATTTAGTGAGCCCAGTGGAATGGAACAATCGAAGTTAGAGCATTATCTGCTGGTAGACAACATAAGATATGGTCGAGATAAGTCAAGACTCAATGATTGGTGCAGATTGTATGTAGTAGGGGCTAAAGTTCGAGACTCGGGAGACAACCGAGTCACTGGGCCAGCAGCATTCTGAAACAATTCTGTGTTGTTTGCCAGACACGGCAGCGGCAGAGGTGATGAGTGCTCGCGGGGACGAGTGCGGATGGGGAGATTCAAGGGAGATATTGGCAGTACTTATAAAGGGAGAAAGTCGAGCCGAGCATGCGGCCGGCGACAGTGTGGAATGCTACCTTGTTCCTCGGGCTACTACTTAGTGGGTACGATCGTGGCGTGTACATGCGCGCTACCACTGCGCTATGCCGCATGCGTTCATCTGACGCGCTCGTCACGTGACCAGATAACTTTTCGTCAGCCCATCGTCTGACACGACGAGCAGACCCCTCAGCTCATCTGCAGTGATGGCGACCTCCTCAGAAGCCGCCCCAGACAAACACGCCATCACACCCACAACATTCCCCACATATTCTGACACCCTCCAAGCAGCTGCCCTGAACACGACTCGTCTCGCAGCAACCTCCCTCCCATCCGACCTCTCCTTCCATCGGTCTATCCATTCAAACTTAGCGCCAGATATCGACGCATTCTCAGCCCGCGTTCTTGGCTTGACTAATAGACTGATTCGTCTTGCTGGAGGCAAAATCAGCACCATAGAAGAGGAAGAGGATGTCGTCGATGGCTTCGTACGCACGATTGTAGATTCGATGGAGGGGATGTTGGAGAGGACGGATAGTGCCCTTGATGAGTACTTGGG